ATTAAATTGTTTTATGAATTCAACTGATTAGACATGTTTTTTTATTATTAACATTTAATTAAACCATTAACCCATTATAAATTAATCAAAAAAGAATTCAACGGAAAAGACAAAATTTGGGAAAAATAAAAGATTTTTTATAGGGCTCAAAAAATGTAATTTTTAATAAAAAATTTAAAACTTGAATAAATTGCTTTTAAATTGTATAAGTCTCATGATTTCAATTACTTAATAATGCTTTTTGATTAATATTATTTAACTATTCAAATGGAATCCAGAAAAATTAAAGCAGGAAAAATCGAATTTGGGAAAAAAATACTATTACGTCTATATTATGTTTAAGAGAAATTACAACAAAAATTGTAACTTCAAAATTCATTTACACAATTCCCGACCCCAGTTCTTCCTCAGAAGTAATCCTTATATCAGCCTGGGTACTTGCACACAACTTGTGTTTGCTGGCAAATTGAGCGTAAATCTAGCCAATCACACACAAGCATGCTGTTTTAAGATATTTTTGTGTGCAATATGCATATATAGAAAGCATGCGTCATTTTGAAGGAATAGCAGGTATCAGTAAATATGTACCAGTAGCTCATGTTGTTAAAGTGCTCTGTAAACTGGGTCAGATTTGGACTTTTCTCTTCATTCTGTTCCTTCGCCCAAAGCAGCACCTCAGGAATCTGAAGACAGAGATGACAGTGAGAGATGACAGTGAGAACAGCAGGTATTACTTTTTACACTCACAAATCTCAAAAATCTTTTTTTCCATTACTATATCAAGTAAAACAGTGTCTGTTTCGGCCTTTGTTTGGCTGCGGAAGCATGGTAGCGGGCTTTGTTTTTGAACGCACTTCATTCCATGAAACGCTTATTCTTGGCCCCATTTATTCTGGTAAATAATTGACCAACAAAAAACATATTAAAATTAAGATACAAATTATACCAAACGAAACTCGTTCGAAAAAAGTGATTCTACAAACAAAAACGTACGAAGTGGTCAAAAAATTATGTCTGACCCACTTCCCTTCTTCCGGCGTACTGCCGTCCAATTTACCACGCCCTTATAACGTTTACAATTTTCTTAATTAGCAAATTGAACTAAACAAAACACAAACAAATAATATTTAAACATAAATAATATAAAATAAAAATACTTTCTTAAATGGCTACAACAGTGTCTGTGTGTGTGTGTGTTACCTCAATCTTGTAAAACAGTTCTGCATCCAGCAATGTCAGCTGATCGGCGATCTCATGACTGCGGAAATCATGCAGCGTGCCAGGCCTGTGGAGAAAGAACCGATTAAACACAGACAAACCCGCACAGATGAGACCTGCCCCGATGACCCCTGAACTTTGACCTTTACCTGGCAGAGACGCCCCGCGCGGCGAGAGGTTTCAGCATGTGCATGTGTCGCAGGAGCCTCTTCTGTTCCACTTTATCGAGGACGTTCTTTCGCAGGACCCTCGCCAGACTCAGCTCTCCATTACAGACCAGCCGGAAGACCAGATCCATCAACTGCCGCAGGATGTCCTCGGTCAACTCCACCGGGGCGTGTTAGAACAAGCCATTTTAGGTAGGTGTGGCTGACTCTTAACTTTTATAAAGAATATCTCTTTGGATTTGAGACTTTAGTCTTTGCAACTTTACAGATCTTCTTTATGCACCAAGAGCTTGTAACACTCCAAAGAGAAAGGAAAACTTGAAATCGCATCATATGACCCCTTTAAGCTTAACTTGAAGAAATTGTGACAAATATATCGCAGTAGAACATACTTTTCATAGTAATAATATTAATATTTTTTAAGGAATATTGTATAATTGTATAACAATAATAATAACAAACCTCTGTTTTGCATCACTTATCTGACAAAAATAAAAGGAATTGTTAAATTTAAATTTGATTACATTTTAAAAATATGAATTAATTTAATGTTTGACGCATTAATTTGAATACCACCATTTTGATAATACAGTTTCATTAAATTTTAAATCCAGAAACATTACAACAGCCAACACAGAATTTCTGGGGGAAAAAAGTACAAATAAATAATAAAACTTCAAAGGGCCATATTAATGTTTTTTTTTTCTTTCTTTATGTTAAAGTTCTCTGTAAACTGGGTCAGATTTGGACTTTTCTCTTCATTCTGTTCCTTCGCCCAAAGCAGCACCTCAGGAATCTGAAGACAGAGATGACAGTGAGAGATGACAGTGAGAACAGCAGGTATTACTTTTTACACTCACAAATCTCAAAAATCTTTTTTTCCATTACTATATCAAGTAAAACAGTGTCTGTTTCGGCCTTTGTTTGGCTGCGGAAGCATGGTAGCGGGCTTTGTTTTTGAACGCACTTCATTCCATGAAACGCTTATTCTTGGCTTACAATTTTCTTAATTAGCAAATTGAACTAAACAAAACACAAACAAATAATATTTAAACATAAATAATATAAAATTAAAATACTTTCTTAAATGGCTACAACAGTGTCTGTGTGTGTGTGTGTTACCTCAATCTTGTAAAACAGTTCTGCATCCAGCAATGTCAGCTGATCGGCGATCTCATGACTGCGGAAATCATGCAGCGTGCCAGGCCTGTGGAGAAAGAACCGATTAAACACAGACAAACCCGCACAGATGAGACCTGCCCCGATGACCCCTGAACTTTGACCTTTACCTGGCAGAGACGCCCCGCGCGGCGAGAGGTTTCAGCATGTGCATGTGTCGCAGGAGCCTCTTCTGTTCCACTTTATCGAGGACGTTCTTTCGCAGGACCCTCGCCAGACTCAGCTCTCCATTACAGACCAGCCGGAAGACCAGATCCATCAACTGCCGCAGGATGTCCTCGGTCAACTCCACCAGACTGACACACAGACAACACCAAGAGGTCAATCAATCACACATACACTGCTGTTCAAACGATTGGGGTCAGTAAGATTTAATTATTCATATTTTTATTCAGCGAGGACACATTAAATTGATCAAAAGTGAGAGAAAAGACATTTATAATGTTACAAAAGATTTCTACTTCAAGTAAATGTTCTTTTGAACTTTTTTATTCACAGTTTCCACAAAAATATTTTGCAGCACAACTGTTTCAACATGATAATAATAATAAATGTTTCTTGAGCAGCAAATCAACATATTAGAATGATTTCTGAAGCATCATGTCACACTGAAGACTGGAGTAATGCTGCTCAAAATTCAGCTTTGCATCACAGAAATAAGAATATATTTAAATAGAAAACAATTATTTAAAATTTAGTAATATTATTTTGTATTTTTGATAAATAAATGCAGCCTTGGTGAGCAGAAGAGACTTTCAAAAACATTCATCAAATTGTTAAATATGTTACATAAAATATAGCTATTCAAACTGAAAGTCCTAATTATATATATATACACACACAAACAAACCAAAACAAATAGGAACATTATTTAAATTAATCAATTTATCATTTGATCCAATCATTTGATCTAGTACATTGAATAAATTTCTTGAATGAACTTATTATCATCAGTCAATTTTGATCAATTTAATGTGATCTTGCTGAATATATGAATATATTTTTAAATGATTATGAATAAATGATTAATTCGTTTAAAAAAAAAAAACAATCACCATGAACTTGTACATGTTTATGACATGTTGCTATTCATGTTTAAGTCCTTAATTGTGTTTCTGGCAGATAAAATACTGCGTTTACTGCAAAAATAAACTGAAAACATTTTCTTCTTTAACTTATTTTCCAGCTTCAACTTAAGTTAGCTACCTTTTGTTAGTAGTAGCTACATTAAAAACAACAACAACATGCATTGACTCACCAGAGTTCATCCACGACTCTCACCAGCACAAAGAACGTGTTTTTACTGACACGCTTCCTAAAGGTGTCTGGACTGTGACAGAACCGAGTATATGTGCAGCGCAGTCAAGAAAAAACACACCATGCAAACTGACTGCTACTAACAGATAAAAATAAACCACACAGTAGAAAGGATATCTGTAGTGTAGTTTTTTAATGAGGTCTTCAGGCGTTATGAAGGTTCTGTAGGTGGTGAGGAAAGCCTCGCAGTACAACACCAAATCTACAACACAAACAGACAAATATGATTACTATGCATGCACTCAAGATATACAGCAAACCTCCATCACACAAACACTGCAGGAATCAATCAGCCTACAGACACTCTAATGCAAATTATAACAGAAAACATACTGACTGATCGAGCTTCATATGAAGAAAGCATGTGAATTACCTTTGCGGTCTGTTTCTGTAGCGTGAACTAACAGTATATCACCAGAGCCGGCTCTCACATCAGGACCATCATCATTCTATCAGAGAGAGAGAAATATTACTGCAGGCAACTGAAGTCCGGCTGCCCATCACAGCACTGCACCAGCTGACGTCTGTGTGTGTGTGTGTGTGTGTTTTAGACTTGCATCAACCACTACAGAATTACTCTCTAAACACTGGAGGAAACAGACAAAAGCTCTGACCTTGTCAAAAAACACAATACATCAAATACACACATGCAACAGATTTCCAACAGAACTCTGTTAGCTTAATTCCTCTGTGATTCCTCTTTCTTTACCAATAACACAGCATATTTTTAACTCAAATTAATATTTTTTTTCAATCTATTGATTTATCTGATAAGCCATGTAATAAGCAGAATAATGAACATGACATGTGGAATTAATCCTACAGTGATTTTATTTTGCAGTTATGATTGGCTGACTGTACATCACATACATAATTATGCTAATTTGATTGTCAATTTACATACTATTTGTGCCTCTAGAGTTTTGTCATCTGTAAAGTAAGTACTAATTCAGTTCTAAACAATTTTTGTTTAACCAATGAATCTCCATGAATTATCAATTGTTTGTGGTATGCCCTCGCATAAGACCAATTTCTACGTGATGAAATTGTTTATATCTTTGCATAAAATTTTTTTTTGTTACATTTCTATGACTTTTAAGATTTTAAGAATTTTCAAAACTTTTCCCGAAGTGGAAATGTTAAAATATGAACATATTGAAATACATGCACGGTATAACATATTTAAAAATATCCATATTTACATGATGCATACATGGATAAATGAATAAAAAAAATAAAGTAATAAAATCCATTACAAATGCATAAATACACAAATAAATCCATGCATGAATGGATAAATAAATGCATAAACAACTGCATAAATGCATGCATAAATGGATAAATTAATCCATGCACAAATGCATAAATAAATGTTTAAATAAATAAATGCATAAATCCAGGCAAAAGTAGACAAATAAATGCACAAATAAATTCATGCAAAATTGCATAAACAAAAGTATGAATAAATAAATACAAATAACCAATCAAATCAATGCTAATATTCCCAGGTTTATCATGACAGTGTTCATCCTGGCTTTTGGTTTGAGCCGTTTAATAAAGATTGAGCTGTTTAAACAGTATTATTACCTCTGCTTTGAATGTGATGCGGCTCATAATCTCATTATGATCAATGAGGGACAGTTCATCAACATCATCGATCTGACCATGACTGGGTTTCTTCGGCCTGTGAGCGAGAGAAAACATATCACAAGTATTTACATATCTCTAACCTGTCCATATGACAGCAAACACACACGTACAAAGACTGGAGTTCATACCTGTCCTTAGACAAGGCTTCCTTGCTATTGGAGGTGGGTATGTGAGGGGTGTGGTCCTGAAGCACATCGTCACATGATGAGGGGTCCTGAAGAATTCAGACAAATGTATAATTGCACTCCAAACACATGCACACACAGCTTAACGCAATGACACGCATACTTACAGTGCGGTGTGTGTTTTCTCCATTAGCCTGTGTGGAGGAGTACAGGTTCACATACTCTCCCTCACCGCCTTCATCCACACTTTCACTCTAGAGCAAAAACAACAGGGACAACCGCCACAGATCGGTCAGACAGCCAGCAAATATCCACCATCAAACACACCATGTGAACGTTTCTCATGACATACAGGAAGAATGTGAATTCTGTGTTGCATTCTGTGCAAAATACCATTTTAATTACCATCAAATTACAGATGTCTCTTTTATTCATTCAGAAAACTCAAGACTTTATTCTGAAAACAAATTATATGACACAGAAATTACATGCAGTGTCTATTGAGCACTAGATGGCGCTCGTTGACATTATTTTGCACAATGTAAATTCACATTCACAAGGACCTGCACATAATCTGACAGTCCACATTGCATTTTCAGGAAAATTAGAGATAAAGTTAAAGGCAATTATGCATGTGTGTCTAAGGTAGCTATGCTTTTCAGACAACTGCAACTCCTTTTGAAGACGTCTTTCGTGGGAAAAAGTCATTCATGCTTTATTTTTAATTCTAGAAATGCAATACATAAAGTTATGTAGTGATTATGGTTTGATTCATTTAAAATTCAATAAGTCCATATTTATATAACTGCTGAACATGTGTGTGAGTTTTTGAGGGTGTGTTTACCGCAGAGGTAAGAAGTGAATCAGAAAGAGAAGACTCGGAAGGAAGACAGACGGCCAGAGAGTCCAGAGAGCTGGTCAAGGACCCGTTAGAGACACCCCCACCATCTAGAGCTCTGCCGGCATTGGTCAAACCAACCAGATCGGAACTCTGTGATCGGTCGAGACAGAAGAAATGGGAGAGGAAAGATGGAATCAGAGGAAGTATATGGAAGAAATCTGAAAAGGAGGAAAAAGATCGGAGAACGGAGAGGGAAATATGCTCCATTTTGCGTAAAATACTAGGACAGTGAGTTATAACTATAAAGAGAAAACCTCCAACAGACGACACAACACAACACTGGACAAGTCAAATCCTGGCTGAACTTCCGGATGTTGCTCAGAGGGATTACAGCACCTGCAGGGACTCGCCCGGATCACCAACAACATTCCAGATCATCCCATTACACACACACACAGCAAACATGGTCCAACATGTTTCCCAGAGAGATCGGGATGAGCATCCCCCATTCTATTCTGTCTGGTACATTCCAGCATGTAAGCATTCCACAGAGACTCAGAGGAGGGAGCGAGGAAAAGAGATAGAAAGAGAAAAAACTTCCATATGGTTTCTCACAATCTTACACACACATATACACACACACACACACAGATAGAGGTCACTTACTCACCAACATGTTGAACTCTTTCCTTAGGCAAACACACACACGCTCACATAAACATCATATTGCTTCTGCTCTGACCTCTAAGGTCAGGGGTCAAGAGCACAGAACATTCCGGGACAATTCCCAGATTCTGTTATCATGACAATCTAGTCCCTAAAACTCATCACCAGGGAAAAGAACTCCAAATAGCACCTCGTGATAACCATCAGTAATAACCAGTGTTTATTATATACTATTATAGTGTTTGAGTTAGCCTTTATTTTTATATTTTCAGTTTTCATTTTAAGTTTTAGTTATTTTATGTGCTTTTGTAATTTTTATTCATTTTTTAAATAGTTATAATTATTTATAAATATAATTATGTAACCACATCACGAGTAGACACGCCCCTTATTGCTGATTGGCTACAAGTTTGTTTTGCGATTCGGCCCGAATCAGTTTTCTAAAGTGTTTTTGAAAAATCACTTACTCTGCCTTTAATAATTATATTTATTTTAAATGTAAGCACTTTAATGAAAATTAAAAAAAATACTGCCTTGGCAACTAACTGAAATAAAATTAGTTTCATTTAAATTTGATTTGATTTTAGATTTATTTCAATTAACAAAAACAATTTATTTTATAGTTGTAGCTAACAATAACAACACTAGTAATAATAAAAGACTCTCTGAAGTCCATTTTCAGTGTAGCAGTTTTTAAAAAGCCAAGTAAGCCATAGACCAAAAATAAATATAATAAATACTTTTTATAAAAACTATAAAAAGTTTATATAATAAATAATAAATACATTTTATATAAAACTATATTTATGCATTTATTTATTTGTTTTCAGTGATGACAGAAAAATTATTAAATCCTGGAAACATTACATGTCATGCCTAGTGTTTTTTTCTAGGTGATACTATCAACAGTAGAATCTGAAATTCTAGACAAAATATCACAGCTTCATACAGCATAAATAGACTCTGAGCTGATGAGCTTAGACGCACTGCTGAAAATCTCTGATCAAATCTCTCATATAAACAATGACACATTCTGAATGATCTCAAGTCTAATAAAAAAATAAAAAAAACTCTAGAGATAACAAGACACTGTTAAATAATTCACCTCGTGCACACAACCCAAATTGATGCCAAAAATCTAAATTTTGACTACATAAACCACCTCTGATGCAATGAGCAAAATCTTCAAAAAACAAACAACTAAAAAAATTGTGTCAAATGCAGCACTGGAAGTTACTGGTGAAATCAAATGCAACTGGAGGCCAGAGTTAGTCAGTACAATAACATATATGCGGGGCATCCATGAGCACAGACCCAAAACTTAGGTTTAATGCTACATGAAGATTAAACAGCATTTTGATAAGCTCTGGACTTAAACCTTAAACCCAGATAAACAGATAAATGAAGACTAGATAAGCTTTTAGACTTAAACTTTAATCGGTCCAAAAAAAAACGTATTATATGACTTTCATTTTTATATAACATTCTTTTAGGAAAGGTATATATATATATATATATATATATATATATATATATACACACAGTGTGTATATATATAATTTATGTATGTAATTATTTTTATAGATTTTTATAAATTTGCAGCAGCAAAGAAATGAAGAGGCAATGTGAAAATAAGAGAAAGATGCTGCTGTGGCACAAATTTCCCACAGCATGTGAGTTCTGGCTTTGGAACCCAATCTAATCTGTATCTATTTCACAAAAAGCAAAAAAAACACATAGTTAATCCGTATTTTCCAGTTGACTTTACAGTGACCCTGACATGGCCACCAAAACAGTCACGTGTTGCCTAATCTAAAGAAGCTCAGTTTGACCTCTGACCTTCAGGAGCTTAGCCTCTGACCTGCTGCATGCTCCGCGCCCTCAGGCACTCACACTCATGCTCAGAACTCACCAGCTGTCTCTGTTTGGGAGGCAGCGCTGGCGGAGGGATGGGTTCGTGGACAGAGTCCGAGCTGCTGTAGGAATCGTTGAAGCCGTAAACCTCCTGAAAGCGCTTGTTTCTCCGCTGCTCGTAAATACTCTCGTTCTGAGGCGTCTGATCATATATGCGGGGCATCCATGAGCACAGACCCAAAACTTAGGTTTAATGCTACATGAAGATTAAACAGCATTTTGATAAGCTCTGGACTTAAACCTTAAACCCAGATAAACAGATAAATGAAGACTAGATAAGCTTTTAGACTTAAACTTTAATTCAGCTCCCGGCAAAAAAAAAAAAAAAAAAACCCAAAAGGGCAAAGTGGACTCACAAACTCCATAAGTCACATCTGAACAGTGGTTTAATAAACACCCCAGAGAGACGTGTGAAAAATAATGACAAAACCATATGAAGAGTCCAAACCACACACAAAATGACCAGAACACACTGAAAACAGATGATATATAAGCAAACCTACATTACACATAATACACATAGTTCATAAAACATGAAATTACATGTAAATTACTTGTGATTCTTTATAAGAATGAATTTAATAGCACAGAAATGTATTCTGCTCAAGAATGACACTTTAATTAATTGTTAAAAATGTTAAAATTTGGATTACATTTAAAAAATTGGACTGATTATTATAATTTTTTTTAAATATCTGAAGAGAGAAGATAAAATCTTTTGTAATTGTTCACATGCATGTTACATTCCTGACTGCTGACACTCACCACAGGTGTGGTCAAAGAGGCGTGGCCACTGAGGAAGGAGTTAGACACTGATAGGCTGAGACCAAGAGCAGGCTCCGCCTCCTCTGCAAGCCCAGCAGGAGGAGGGAGAATTGAAAAAGAGGAAGAGGAGGAGGATGAAGGAGGAGAAGAAGTGTAGGAGGCCTAGAGCGCAAGAGAGAGAAACATGGGACAGGAAGAAGAGAGACAGAGAAAAGAACAAAAAAAATGAAATGAGGTTAAAAAAAAAAGTGAGTTATATCAAAAAGTAGAAAATGATTTAAAGGCAACATGAAATGTAATGCTTTTACATTCTTTTTTGAATATACACCATTATCAATATATCATGTAATTATGTATTTACATTTACTTTGTATTTTATGTTTAAATAATATTATTTATATCTTTCACGGATGTAATAACTTTAATTTATTTAGTAAGAAAGTAAATCGGGTCAATTTGGATTTCCATGTTGCCTTTAAAAAAGAAATTAACAGAAGAGAAGAAAAGAGCACCAGAAGAGAAGAAAACTATTGACTACAATTTTTTATATATTAAAATTTAAAAAAAGTATGTAATAATAGGAATCGTTGAAGCCGTAAACCTCCTGAAAGCGCTTGTTTCTCCGCTGCTCGTAAATACTCTCGTTCTGAGGCGTCTGATAGAAGACGGACGGCTGCGGTTCAGAGTAATCCTCCACAAACTGCATGTACTGGAGGACTACAGAGAGAAAAGAGTTACACACATGAAATAGAGCCATTTTCTTGATTTCTATTTCACAATAAAAAAACTACTGTATTCTTTTATTTAGACCTATGAAAATGCAGATCCTGTTGTAGATAACAGTGAAAAATCATATCAACTTAAACTGAAATAACATCTTGCATTACAGTAATTACATGAGAAAGAGTGTTTTGGTACTGAGAACTGACTAATTAATTTAAAAATATTAAAATGATCTGGCAATGCATAAAATCTTGAAATGGGCTTAATTTTTCTTATGCAAAATATAATATTTATTTAATGGTATTTTTTCAGTTTTATGTGCTTTATTGGCATGACAAAAAGTGTACATTTTATTTCTAAGTCAGTGCAAATAAAGCAAAAATTTTAAAATTAAAAAAACAAAAATTTATTTTTATTTATTATATAATAAAAAAATCCCTGGGGGTAAGCAGATAAACATAAAATTGTCATTTTTGGGTGAACTATCCCTTTAAATGGCCCTAAAAATAGGCTTTATTTTCTTATACACAATATAATTTCTTATTGATTCGTTTTACAAAATATGACCCAGACATGTTTCTGGATGGTATTTCAAGAGACCCACTAAAAAAATATATATATATGTAAAATTGTTCTCTTACTCTGCTTGCCCTTCTTCTCTGGCAGCGGCGGCGGGCTGTCGGTGTCGGTACAGCATGAGAAATCGTCGTCTCCTCTGTTGACCTGCAGCAGCAGCGAGGCCGGCATCAGCAGCGGGAACGGCGGCGGCAGCTGCTCCTCTTCTGACAGGTTCTCGTAGTGCGATGGGAGGCGCTCGTAAAGAGGGTACGCCGATATGATCGGCACCGACCGCCGCTTCTTCTGCGGGAGGGCGGGGGGAAGCACGCTATTGGTCGGCCCAGGTGTGAGGGGCGGGGTCCAGTACTCCAGGGAAGCCTGATTGGTGACGGGAGCGCTGAAACGCGGGTGGGCGGGGGCCTGGGCGGGGCTTAACGACTGAGACTCCCCGTGGCATTCTGGGAGAGGGCTCAGACTGCTGCCAGTGCCCGTCGGAAACGGTAAAGGCTCGGATTCGGATAGATCCTGATGCAGGAAGTCGTAATCGGGATCGTATCCCTCTAAAGAAAAAGAAAGAGAGGATCATATCCTGGTAAGTGTTCAAAAACCTTCAACTTTTATTCGTAATAGAGTTTGCATACCTAGTGTTTCACAGCTAGTGTTGCGAGAGCACTGGCCGCTGTCTCGCTCCAGTGACGAGAGCTGCTCGTCGGACTTGCTGAGTTTTCCCATACTGTTACAGGGAGAAAGACGAGGAGAATCCCCGCCGTATGACTGGCTCCCACCGGAGAAACGCCTCTGGAGGAGATCCACGTCAAACTCCTGCTGCTTTAAACACAGATCATGTGACAAAAACATCGTCGCTCTAGGTTTTGACACATCCATTGTTTTAAAATAATTCTCTGAATGCACACTGCAACGACATGCAAAACTATTATATGTGATTTTGAATGAAGTTTTGAATACGATTTTATTATTATACGCGGTTTTGAATTTTGCATGTCTTTATGAAGTTTTATGCTCTCTCTTTGTTTTTAGCTTTATTGGCATGACAAAAACTGTACATTTGTATTACTAAAGCAGTGCAAATCAAACTAAATATCAATAGTGCAAATGGTAAAATAGAATTAATGTAAATGAAAATAAAAAATCTAAAATTAAATAAATTAAAAGTAAAAATTAAAAAAATATATTTTTTTTAGCTTTGGGTGTTTCATGGTTTCCTGTGTACGCAGATATTTCTTGAGACGAGGAAAAAAAAAAAGATCGGATAGGGAAAGCTCGGGCTTTGTGTGGATGTAGCCTTAGTTAATGATCAGAACACCGATCAAAACACCATTCAATATTACACACTTCACTTTCAAGTTAAGAAATCAGCACTACACTTCTTGTTGTGGTTAAAAAATAATCAATAATCAGGATTAGGCACGGTGCAAAGGTCAAGGGTCATTCTCAGGTGCTGTACCTGTCTAAGAGCTCCAGGAGGCAGGTTGAGACCACATGGGACTCGACTCATCGGCGCTACCACGGCAACACGTGTGGGGGAGGGGGCCGACTGTCGCTTCTTGGGAGGCAGAGCGGGCGGGCTATGGCACAGTATGCAGAAATATGCAAATGAGCTCACAAGTATGAAAGAAACAATGTAACAAGGTCAAACGAAACGAGCACAGACAGTCCACACACAGTTAGTGAGGGTCTAGCCTGGAATTTAATTGGACACACACACAAACGCTAACACACACATAAAAGTAGCACAGCGTTGGAATGTGTGGTGGGTGGTGAGTTCAGATCTTGGGTTTCCCTGACAATTCTTTACACTTCAATGAAGCTCTAGCGGGTAACCACGGCAACATTCGAATAAACTAATCATAGAACACCCAGTGGGAGGGATTAGAGTGGGATGCAGCGCTAGTCAACAATCCTGACGGAATGCATACAGGATTCCATTTGGAATTTTTGGAATAATTTGACAAAATATGTAAAGGATCCAAATGGGAATCAATTAGAATCTTCTAAGGGTTTAATTAAATACAACTGAATAAACAGAAATTTTAACAGGAGTTCAAGAATATTGTCAGACTACTAGACATTTTAAGGGATAGTTCACACAAAAATTTAAATCTGTCATCATTTACCCTCAAGTTGTTCTAAACCTGTATGAGTTTCTTTCTTTGTTGAGCACAAAAGAAGATATTTTGAAAAATGTCGGTAACCAAACAGCTGATGGTAGCCATTGACTTCCATAGTATTTTATTCCCCCTACTACGGAAGTCAATGGCTACCGTAAACTGTTTGGTTACCAACATTCTTTAAAAATATATTTTTTGTGCTCAACTCATACAGGTTTGAGGGTGAATAAATGATAACATTTTCATTTTTGGGGGAAGTATTTTTTTGTATTTGAAAAATCCTGAAAATAATCTTTTGATGTACTAAAGGAGAAATGTATCCTATTGAGAATGATGATATTCCTATTGGGACTAAAACTAAAACTGAAACTAAAACAATAATTGTTTTCATGAAAATGTTAACTGAAATAAAATAAATAAAAATAAAAAAAATATTTCAGCCAGTTGCCAAGGTAAAATTTCTCATCTTTATTTAATTATCTTCATGTACTAAAATAACTAAAACTAAAATTGAAATAAATTAATAAAATCTATAAAAACATACATATAAAAAACGATATATACTAAAAATGACAGAAACGCAACAAAATTACATTTTTTTTTTGTAAAATTAACATAAAATGAAACTATTAAAATAAAAAAACTGATTCAAATATTAATAAAACTAGAATAGTATCAATGATACAAAAAAAATATTTCACTCAGACATTGCTGGTAAATTTCACAAAAAACATGTTGAATTAAACAAGAAATTTAGAAAAGTAAAAACACTGAAATAGTATTTTCAGTGAAAAAAATTATAATTTCGGTTTTATTTACAACTTTTTACACTTCTACATTCACTTGCATGTTATAAAATATGCCCATTAGGATCCTACAAATTATTATAGAAATTCCATTCACATTCTTTGAGGATTTACAGACTAGTCCTCATTGGTCAGCCATGCAAATTCACTGCAATCAGGCTTTCCAATGATTGGCCGTCACTCTGCAACGTGCAATCCAATTGGACGCACACTGCCACACAACCACATGCAGCTAAGTGCCGCCGTCCAATCAGGGAGGCCGAGGGGTGTAACTGTGTTGTGTCAAAATGCACACAGAGAACACCATTGGCTAACGTACGTATCCATCGCTGTGGCCCTCCGCTGCCCGGCAACAGGATCGGAGCACAACTGCATCCTGTTCCTGGCCCAGGACAACCAAACGATCACAGAGTACAGAGAAAGAGGATGAACAAACGATTCCAGAAAAATAATGCACAAAAATGGATGAAAATGCAGAAAAGACAAAGATGATGTGTGATTGAAAGACACAAAGAAGATTGCGAGAAATACAGATACAGTGGTTGAAAGAATCACATTGTATATAACAAACTAAACAGACATTAGAGTTGATGCTATATTTAATTTTACGCAAATGGAAATGAGGCTGTAAGGGATGGAAGTACAGTTCATTCAATATCTCACGCTGAGTTTAATAATGGCTGATACTGATGCAAAATGATGCAAAACTGAGTGCAGGTGGCTGATGGACAATATAACACCGTTATATATTAAAATATTAGAGACACACAGATAATAGGTTTGACATTTTTACAGATATTTACAGTATTCCACTAAATCACTTATTTAATATTGGGTTTTCTACTAAAATGAGAACAAAACAAAAATTCACAAACTGAGAAAGACATTGTGAAAATAAACAGCGTTGAATAAACATATTGCCAATAAAATGGGTTAAATTACTTATTTTCTGACTGTGCACAATATTATTATTGTAAAGTAGGCTGTTCTACTTCAGATAAAATAACTTGACATGGCTATAATTATTAATAATTATTCATATTTAAAAATGATAAATTATATAAATAATTAGATTTAACTATGCAAAATAAGATTCAATTTAAAATTTTAAATACATTAAATTTTTTAATTAAATTAACATTTGTCATAATATTAACCGAATTTTCATATAAAAATAAAATATTTTATATATGATATTGAAAATTTGAATCTGAAAAAAAAAAAAAAATCCCTAAATATCAGTCGATTTATTGGTGCATCATTAATAGAAAATGTACATTTACACAAATTTCTATTGCAAAACCACACAAATTATGAGAATTAAATGTGACCTGCAGACGTGTGAGATTTTGAGTTTTCAATGATGTCGAATTAAATATGCTATGTACTCTGACTTACATAAATAGCTACCTTGATTTCATACACCCTCCACACACACCTCTTCTCATCAGATGGTAAAAATCAACTCACAACTAGACTTGTGCTGGTATTCGGATACCTATTGGTCTTTATAGTTCTTTTGCACTTTAATCTGTGTAAAACTTTTAACTTTATACATTTTTCTGTATTGCTTTATTGCATTTAAATGTTCAGTTATTCTTGTTATAAGAAAATAAAGTTATTAAACCTGTTATACTGTATTATGACAGCACTTTTTTTTAAAACTAAATTTCAATACCGCGATAATACCGTATACAGTGATAAAAGCATTAGCAATTAATCGCAACATGAAAATTTGATACCGGCATATCCCTACTCACAACCATCCATATGTGACCTTTGCAGAAAGTGTGTATGATGCGATTTTACTACTACGTGTCTCTAATCACAGACAAAAAGTAAACGGAAAAACAAACTTCTGCTTCGGAAGCCAAGCGTCACCGAGAGAGGATGCTGTTACATGTGTGTCTGTGTGTGTCGGATGTGTTCTCATTCAAATATATTTAGATGCTTGTGGAAAAAAGCAGGTTTAAGAATGAACATGACTCATCTGTGGGAAATTACCATCACTAAAGATACTACATACTGCAACTGCCTAGTACATGCTAAAATACTTCCTGAGTATACAGTACAGCACACACTAACTAGCGCACACTAAAGTACACTTGATGTTCACCCCATCAATGCATCCTACACACTACACAAGTTTACCTTAATCTGTCAGCTGTAAAGGAAACAGTGAGGTGTTAAATAATTTGGGACACAACCAATATGAAGGCCTGTTTGGAATGGCATACTGAACTAAAATTCAATATGTATTCTGGGCTTACATATCATTATTACATACTTTCTGTATGCATGGGATTCTTCAATGAGCTACTACATTTACTAGAAAGCAATCCCACAATGCGACAAGCTCAATCTTTTGATTTCAAGTGAGCTAAATGAACCCAAAAGTAGTATCTACTTTAAAAAAAAAATGTTTTGTGAAACTATCATTTCTTTTTTAGTTTTCTGAACCCACAAACAACAATACTTTCATATTTCTAAAGCCGTGCCCCTCACCTGTGCTCTGCCAGTTTTACTCCAGGTAGAGGAGGTTTGGGCGGAGCAACCTCTTCCTCTGACATGTCAGTCAAGCTGTCAGTGGGCGTGACAATGGGCGTGGTCTTACTCAGGATCGCTTTCTCTCGCTCGGTTAGAGGATTTTCACACACACTGAGATAGAGAGACAAACATTATTAACTGTCACTATGCAAAATGGGTAAATTCATATCGGCATTTACGACTGTACCTGTCCGTTTTGGCCACAGGAGGCACTGGTTTGCTGGGGGACGTCGGGGACGGTTGCTCCTGTTTCTCTATAGTGAGTTTCACCAGCTCCTGTTACAAACACACACCCTCGGGTTATAAATATGCCTGTGTTGTTTTAACCTTGTCACATGCACTTCTCATCCCCTCACCTTCACACCATCCAGCACAGCTTTGATCACCGTGGTGACGGTTGCCACAGTTTCCTTGTCGTCGAGGTCGATGCCCTCCAGCATCACCTGGTCGGACCAGCGAATGAGATTCGCCAAACTCTGATAGACGCGGTTATGACAGGAGGACACTGCCGAGCTACGGTTAGGGAGATGGATTTTAAATTTAAGAAAAATGGAGTGAGGGCTGCATGCAAAGAAAACCATGGTATTACCATGGTACATATCGAAATACCATGTTATTATTGATTTGATAATGCTGGTACACTCACCTGTGCTGTATCCGAGCCTCTACATGCATCACAGGCAATATGGCCTCCAATACTTTACTAGCCGAACCAGGAAGCATCTGCAAAACCTTCGTATCGACGTTCATCTTGTCCACAATCGTCTTAAAGTAACGTAGAGCACTCACCACCTCCTTCTCCTGTTCCTCCAACCGACTCACCTTCTGTTGAAAGACAGAGTGGAAAGCTGATTTTTAAGGTGATAGAGCAGCAATAGACTTAATGTAGAGTTGAAACAGAGCAGTCGTAGTGTTAATATACAGCTAAGAAGCTGTTGATTCAAACTTTACAGACTAACATGAGGGTGAGTTTGGAATAACATGAGGGTGAGTAATTAATGACAGAATTTTCATTTTGGGGTGAACTAACCCTTTAAAGAGGGTATACAGTTAATGTGCACTGATGTAGAGGGGGAGTAAGGTTACGGTGGAGTTCTGAGGGTGTAAAGTAAATGTTTACTGTGGTAGAGCAGCAAGAGATTTACTGTAGATTCAAAGTTGATGTTTGCAGTGATAAAGCAGCAACAGAGTTACTGCAGAGTTTAGGTAGAGTAGCAGTAGGTTTACTACAGAATTGAGAGTAGAGAGTTAATATTGATATAGAGCGACTGTTGAGTTACTGAACAGTTGAGAGGGATATGTTTAGAGTTACAGTAGAAGTAGGATGGTGTAAAGTTAATGTTCAATGTCATAGAGCAGCACTAGATTTACTGCATAATATTCATAGATACAGAGCGACTGTAGAGTTACTGTACAGTTGAGAGGGTTGTATTTACAGTTACTGTAGAAGTTGGAGGGTGGAAAGTTTATTGTGGTAGAGCAGCAGTAGATTTACTCCAGAGTTGTGAGTACATAATATGTAAAGGTGTTACATAATATTCATTGATATAGAGTGACTGTAGAGTTACTGTACAGTTGAGAGGGTTGTGTTTACATTAAGGTAAAGTTCTGTGGGTGGAAAGTTAATGTTCACTGATAGAGCAGCACTAGATTTACTGCAGAATTAAGAGTAAAGAGATTATCATTGATATAGAGTGACTGTAGAGTTACTGCACAGTTGAGAGGGTTGTATTTAGCAACGGTAGTGTTAGGAGGGTGTTTACTGTCTGTGATTGAGCACCACTAGGTTTACTGCAGAATTGAGAATAGGGAGTTAAAATGTATTGATATAGAGCGACTGTAGAGTTACTGTACAGTTGAGAGAGTTTTATTTAGGGTTACTGTAGAAGTAGGAGGGTGGAAAGTTCATGTTTTATGCGATAGAGAAGCAGTAGAGTTACTATAGAGTTTGAAGTGTGAACAAAATTACTATTTATTAATGTAGAGTTACAGTAGAGTAACAGTAGAACTCAAAGGGAGTGCATAGAGTTGCTCTACCTTGTTGACAGGTTTCTCTGGAGTAGTCACCGTAGGCTCTGGCTGGAGCTGTTTGCTCTTCTTAGATGGAGCTCGTTTAATCGGGGAATGAAGTTTCATCAATTTCAATGCGAAAGAGGAGAGGTGAGACTTCTGGGATTCTGGAAAACAACAAAACAAAGGATAAGTTCACAAAACAAGCAAACAAAAGGAATAAAAGACAGTAATGCTTTTCATCAAAAAATCTTTTGTCTGTCACAGACCAAAAAACTCCAGACAATTCAGTAAATTCATTCTGGCTTCATCTCCGACAAACTCACAGCAGTGTTTTGGTTATCAGAGAGATGACAGATTCGTTTAGAGGGACGATCTGTCACTGAAAGAGGAGGGTGGGATATTTACAACCTGCAATCAATGTAAGATCAGAGTCATTTTATATAATCAACACAATTAAACTATACAAATAAACATACACAAGCCTTTCTGGCGATAAACATCACCAAACAAATGTTCTCCCACAGGCAATTACATAAACTAGAATCCCCGTCTGTGGGGTTTTATCATAATTGGAATTTTATGGGCCATTATTATAGAGAGAAAGAGAGAGAGACACTGCACATAAGCAGCTGGTGTATTTCTGAATTTATCTCCCTGTTCAAAGAAAGATCTGCTGTTAAAAAATACTCTCACATATGATGCTCAATTCCCATTCACCCACAGACACAAACTAAGCAGCACAGCTCATTCAAAAAATCATTATGATTATGATTATGACATTACAGCAATGAGGTCATTAACATAAGACTGCCCAGATTTACACAACAATTACGCAGTATTTAGGAACTTCAGCCCATTGTGAAAAATAACAGTGAGAAGTATGGCACTTTGTAGTGTTCAACATAATAGAGGTCGAAATCTTAAAGGTACAGCAGCAAAACACTGTTTAAAGTGTGTAATTTCTAGCATTAACAAACTAAATAGTCAAAGAGGGTGGAATATGGTCTTAAAAAATCCATTTATAACTGTTTTGGTGCAAGAAACCTAGACTGACATTCAAAAAGTTTAAGTGTGTACTCAGTACGGAGACCCTGTTGTCATACAAACTTTCTCAAAACACATGCATGCACATTTGAACTCTCGACCCCTCTTGAGAAAAAACACTAGACCCAGCAGTGCGTGTGATTCTGGGGGGCAAAAATGCAGGAAATTACATGTCATGTGTGTGTTTTGGTGTGTATATTGACAGCCATTGCTGCAGAAAAGGGCTCTGCCTTTCCGTTCAGAGCGTGCTCAGAACAATGCCTTCTGGGTAAAACGGAAAAGTCGTATTGTAACTAACATGGGTGGAGCCATTATGCTCTAATACACACACATACAACTCTTAATTACCCTCACACACACACACACACACACACACGCATGGTGGGTGTATAAGGGCCTGTAGGCTGACAGAAAAAGCAGTGGAGCGTGGGTAATGTAGTAGTTTAACAGTAACCACAACTAAAATCCATACTACAGATCCATATTACACACCAGCACTCACCAGTCAATCTCTACAATACAATACTGAGTGTGTAGGTGGGTGTGTCACACAAAGTTAATGCAGTTATGACTCAGACCAATTATTGTGCAATTAAAAGGATGATTTTTCATGCAGTGATGACTAACAATCACTATTATTATAGTATCATTGATACACTATAACGTTTTTTGTTAATATTATGTTTTTTTTTTTTGTTTCCATTGTCATTTAAAATGTAAGTTTTTGTCATTTTTAGCCTTTTTTTTTTTTTTTAAAGAAATATGTTTTTTTATTTTTTTATTTTGCAATTCAGCTTAAACTAAATAAAATAATAAATGATTTTGTGGCATCTAGCTGAAATAAAATAAACTTAAGTTCTTTTTTTTTTACCACAGTAAACATTCCAAGAAAATGTTTTTATGGTTTTAGTTTTAGTTATCGACAATAACCCTACAAACAACCACCAGAATCCACAGAGTATCTTTCATATACTACAATACATTTACATTTTTGCATTTGGCAAACGCTTTTATCCAAAGCGAGCTACATTGCAAACAAGAACTCAAACCAGTTTCTAAACTCTCAATGGTTTAGTAGATTAAATCAATAATTAGTGTAAAAGATCAGAAAGCACTGGATCAACAAGGTTTCATCTGCAAAACTCCTTAACATTACAAAAACTATATTAAGTTAAAGGTGGGGTAAGCGATTTCTGGTAGCCAATGTTGACATTTGAAATCACAAAAAAACAAACACACCCCTACCCCAAAAAGGTCTTGCCCCTATTTTGATAGCTCCGCCCCACACATACGTACGCAACCCAGGCAACGATTAGTTCTGTGAAACAAAGCAAAACCAATGTTACACCGTGTCTACACCGTACGCGAGTGGCGCGGTGTAACAAAATACTATAGAACTCATAATCAGTGATGCTGTCTACACCATAGATATATATATATACATATCTATGGTCTACACTGGATGCGGCGCGGCACGACACAACAAATCCCCGACAGAAAACTGCTGCTGCGTTCTATTTATGACGTATTGACACAAATTTCAAATGATTTTCAACGGTCGCTTTGTCGCTTCCAGTGTACTAGACAGACAGCTGTTGCGGCGCAGACACGGTGTTACTCACCTATCGAGAAGAAACAAAGCAACCTCGGCGTCCAATCGCAGGCCTTCCGCTCCTAGAGTTCTCTCCAGCGCTGGAAAGCTGATCCGATATTTACACGGGTCCTACTTCTTGCCTTAAGCCTTCTTTTGTTCCGCAGACGGTTTCCTCTTTTGTTTTTTATCCGCCATCTCTATCTTTCTGTCGTCGCTCGGCTAATGTCCCTCCTGTGCACTGAACTCTCTCTCCTCCACATCATGAGTAGACACGCCCCTTACTGCTGATTGGCTACAAGTTTGTTTTGCTATTCGGTTCGAATCAGTTTTCTAAAGCGTTTTTGAAAAATTGCTTACCCCACCTTTAAAAGCACAATTTTTTGGTTTAGTGCATATATTATTATAAAACACAACTATTACTGTTGTAATTCGTTCATTCATTTTTATAGCTAGAACTATCACTGTCTTAGCTGACGATTAGTTGTCATCCAAATAATTTAATTTTTTGCTGATGACACTTACAGTATAAGCTTAATACACATTCATCCTACGAAAACATAATCATGCATTTTATTGCTTGATTCTTTAAGGGACAGAATGACATGAATAATAATAATTTACATATGTAAAAAAAAAAGAAATTACATATGACAGTTCTAACAAATTCCTGTGATTAGGAAAGATGCAAAAATGGTGGAAGGCCTAATTGAAATGCATTATGGGTAACCCTGATGCTGTGCTTTAAGTCTGAGTAAGTGACTGAAGTCAATGAAATTCCACTAAATGCAGAGTATATCAACAGACAGGCTAAAGTACTGCTGTGAAATTTCAACTGTAGCACACTTCCCTCGCTCATTCCGCCTGAGGGAGTGTTTTCACTGTCTTTAATGGAACGCTGATGATATAGATTGGTGGAAAAACAGAGAGGGAAGCATCAGATATTAGCTACGTCCTTCAAACCATGTCCGTTACAGACTAATGAATACACGTGTGTCTAAACACACAGGCAGTCGCTAGAAAAATGAATTCAGGAATAGGAAGCCATGCCCAAATCCTGCATCACTTCCTGTCCAGCGACCCCACAACAGCGGACTACATTCCCCGATCTCCGGTTCAAGGTCTGTTTCGGCATGCAAGCATGAAAGTACGCACACACACACACATACAATTACTCCTAACTCATGTCACCTGCAGGTCAGAGCCACCACTTCCTGCTTTGGCCTCAGACCTACCCATCAACTTCCTGTCTGGCTCCAGCGAACAGGAGCACTTCCTGTGCTGCCCATCCTCTTTACAACAAAGAGCGCAGAACTCTGGAACACTGAGTCATGGATAAAACACACACACACACTCCTATCTAGGGCTGCACGATTAATCGAATGCCCGTATATTGCCATAGTCGTGTGTTTATCAGTCACGTTGAATCAATGAAAGCAGTTGAATCTTCTGTTTATTCAGCTGCAGCGTTTTCTGGGTTTCTTCTGCGAGGCGTATTTGGAGTTTCAGCGCGAGAGCGCCCTCTGGCCTTTGGATGGAGATTTACTGCTGATCACAGAACCGTGCTTCACTGAAAGATACGCATGACAATCGCAGCTTCTGTCGAATCGCGATCTCGATTCCATTTCGATTTATCGTGCAGCCCTACTCCTATCTCACATTATACATTATGAATTTAGTAAGTGCTCGTTTTTGTTTGTTAAATCACAAAATTTAAATAAATATTTTTTCACATATTACAGTAAAAATTATTAGGTATACGCTAATATAGAACTTTGTTTCTATTTTCAATAGTGCTTTCTAAGTAAAAATGATTACTAGTAATCATATTTAAAGCAACTAATTTCAATAAAGCCCTAAATATAAGTTTTTAATATTAGTAGCAGTATTTAAGTTTGTTGCCTTTAAAGCTATTCCATAATGGATACAGATTCAACATTCAATAAATACAAACATTTAATAAAATTCAAAACAGACAAAATAATATTATATTTACATAACTCTATTAAAGATTCCTTAAGTGTACTTGTGATAAAAAATTAAAAAGCTACATAAATAAATAAATTAATTCATTAATTTTTTTCTGGGTCCATCTTACAAAAAAAAAATGTCCCTCAAAGGTCATCATCTCTTAAAGTATAATACAAATACAATACAAATACAAAAATGCTAATACTAGCAGTAGTTAAGTGCATTTACTAACCTTTGTTCATGCTTTAGCTAACATGTACTAACAATGAGCAAAAGGTTTTTTGTGCGCAAAATAATTTTTTATTAATTGTTGTTAATGTTAGTTAATAAGTCCAAGTACAAAAGTCCTTCAAAGTCTGTTCTAATAAAAACTGTCTCTTAAAGTATAATAAACAGACAAAACTAATACCAATATATGTATACATTACACACAATACAATCTATACACAAAAATGTATACACGATAACTAATAATAAAATAAAAAAGAATTTAACTATTATATCAATATGGTCACAAATATATTCTGAATATTGTGATATTTAAAAATTCTATATTAT